TGGCACACGTGGCTAAATTCTCGATGAAAAGGTGACATCACGTGTGCTCAAAGATGTTCTTGAATCGATGCCACGTTAATGCCACGTCAATTTCTGCAATTGCACAATTTCTGGTCATTTGAAGGCGAGGGTAGTTTCTTCATTTACCTCCACCCATGAAATTGGTTCGTGCTCTCTTCAGACAATCAGTCATTTGTAACTACTAATTTTCATTTTTCCAGCTTCTTTATTCGTTGTAATTTAGTCGGTAACTCTAACATAAGAGCATATTACGTTATCATGATACCAGCCTTCCTTGCTACTCCCGACCCGTTAAGAGGGATTTTATTATCTATAAAGAAAAGCATGCATACATATACCTAGGAATTCAGGTAGATGAGAAACCATCGCCAAACCCTTGGGGCTCGAAAATGCCATTCGGACAATTGATGGCAGAGTTCCAAATATCTGGTTGGGTTCATCACGTATCGTTTTCGCCGTCTGGATGCAGACTTGCCTTTGTTGCTCATGATTCCTCCATATCCTACGTGGACGCCAACCAAGTAACTTTATTTATAAATTCGATTATTGTGGCGTTTTACATTTTGTCGCAACCGTCGATTTTAGGACAATACGGTAGCTTATACCCTGCGAACAAGTTGCCTACCATTCACTTCGGCAGAATGGGTAACTGAGAACAGCATCGTGGCTGCAGTAGGTCTTTAATGATACTTTATTATCACTTCATCCATGCTGACTCAATAATTTTTAAAGGGCCATGACTGCTCTCCTGTTCTATTTACTGTTACCGATAGTGGTCTGAAAGAAGTTTGTAAATTGGATGTTCCATCAGAACAACAAGTATCGTCTGTAAACTCAGCCCTACAGATGTTCCGCAACATTGACAGGTTGTTATCTCGTTTTTGTTTGGTTTATCATCCATTTACCTTCCCAATTTGTACTTTTTTATAAGTTTCACCTTAGAAATGCGGCTTCCGAGCAAGTCAATGTCCAGCTGAAAACACTTCATCAGAATATGATCACGTGAGTGTAACTGATCTGTTAGAAAGTGCTTTCGCTCAATGTGTTCCTGTACCGTATGTTTTAATTAAGGCAAATTTTACCACATTCTGGGAGTAGGAATAATATTCTCAAGTTCACCACATGCGGAACTGATGGTCTCATCGCGCTCTGGGACTTGAAGGTATCGAACGTTATTCAAGTTGATGGCTTTTTTCAGCTGCGACTATTTGTTGTTTACCCATTACCTAGTGAATCCAATGGAGCAATTTATGCTACTATGTTTCTCTAATTATGCTGCCAAAACATCAATAAAATGGAAATATATCAGGAGAATTCGAAGATGAATATCCGTCTGTATGAGTATCACATAGTAATGTTTCATGGTAACCGAGTGACCTTCGAAAGCATTAGGAAAGAAGAAAGAAAAGGAAAGGAAGGAAGGAGAGAGATTGTTGTAATTCATCGGGGACATTTTTTGCAAGATTGGTATGCACTAAAAACAGTAAAGGATCAGGAAGTGAGGACTACATAGATTGAGGTGGTAAAAAACAGGCGGAGAGAACGGGACTACGTGGGTTGAAATAATATCTTAGAAAGGAGGATTAAGAAAGGCAATTACGAGAGCCAATGATAGAAGAAGTTCATGGTCGTAACTCCAAAGGATGTGCCTGTAAACTAGTCGAACTCAAGGAAAAGCCTGTAAAATACAAATATTTTATTATATTCGAAGACACATAAATGGCACTCAGCTTTCAAATTGCTACACGGCGCGATTGCAATTTGAAAATGACCCAAATAACATATTGCATCGAAGGATATCAGTCACTTCTAGCAAATACAAATAACATTTTTTGGTCAAATATTCTCATCATTAAGGACTCCATCGAGTATTGCCGGGTAAGTAGAGTTGTGTGACTAATTCTGCTTATAGCAGGAGCATGATATTTTTGAATATCGAGTTTTATGGAGTTACTATCAATATGTCGGTCTAACTGAGTGGTTATTTTAACAATGCTGAGCATGGAATTTGCGTGGCTGTAGAGTGAGCATTTGTTTATTAATTAAAATTTTATATCCAACTAATTCCAGAGCAAAGCTGCAGCAGTTCATTAACATCATTAGCGAATTCCACTCGATCTGTTCCTGGATTAATGTTCGCGGACGTTTTCGATGGTCGGCCAAAAATGGAGTTGCCGCCGAATCTCTATTGCTTTACCTGTAATTCCTAACATTGCACTTATTGTATGTAATCGACATGCTATAGTTCCATTGAAGAGTTTATTATTCAATAAAATTTCATAGCTACACAGAAGAAATACTGGTTTTTGCCTCTCAACAAACACGACCATATGGAGCTTGGCAGTCATGTTACATCTCCAAAAAAGCATCACAGATTGTGCAAAAGCATCATAAGCGGACGACAAGGGGAGGGAGCAGTATTGGGAAACTGCCTAGTAGTGTAAGGGTGTAAAGTCTGAACAATTCGAGGGAATCAAAAACGATGAGATCGTCGCAATCGTGGATCAGCTTGCGGTGGAGTCATGGTTAGTCCAAAGTACAATATTTTTTCGAGGCCGCTGTCTTGTTCAAGCAAATCTGAAAGTTTCCCATTCTTTTTGAAGCGCTATGTCTGTATCTGTCGCGGAAGTTTGGCATTACCCAAGAATCACACAAAGCGGCTGTGTCGGGGTGGGAAGTGGGCCAGAACATAAGGTGCAAAGATAAGCTATGCGAGTTCTTGCTACAGTGGGCTAGCACCGAAATGGGCGGACGGGCGGGCAGGGGGGGGGAGGGGCAAAAATTTTATCATAATTAAATTCCAGAGCATGCAGAAAAGAGTGTAAAATGGTGAACCAGCCAGCTGGTGGGTAGATGCGATCGACTGCCTTCCACAGTCTTTATTACAAAATTCATAACTCGTTTCAAAGACAGCCTAGATACCAAAGGCAGATCTGCACTGTCTAAGTCATGCTAAGTATAAATTAATTCTTGGAGGAACATCGCTTGTGTGTATGCGTGCGTCCAACTGGAGGGTGCTTGAAACAAAAATCCACATTTCCCAGGCAATTCCAGAGGAAAAGAAAGGTGGGCAAAGGCGCCCGAAGAAGGACCAACCCACTTTTATGGTAGGTGAGACTTGCACCGAAGGTGGCAAGATTGAAATCAGAGGTTCTGATCGCTCGACGCATATTGCTGCAGCCATGTGTGATGCACTCGTTAGCATGCAAAGCCAAATTGGTATTTTTATACGGAAGAAAAGCTCTTTCTGAACAAAATAATAGCACGGCGTCAATACTCAGAACATCCCATCTGAGGTCGAAAAAAGCATCATGAAGTGGGAGCGCTCTTTCAGGGAAAAGAATTAGAATTTATGATAGAACCTCTAATCTTCATCACTTATTGATATTCTAGCAGATGCATATTAAGTGCCAAGTGAGCTGGGGGGGGGGGGACCACGCGGCGCGCGGCGTCTGTCAAACGCAATGGGACTGAGCCTGAGCCTAGAAGGAGGCTCAAATGTGCCAAAAGTCAATCACAAATCATAATATTTCATAGTTCACTCACTCCTCCCTGGACTCAGGCTATCGCCTTGAAAAACAGCGCCGCCGCGTGATCCCCAACTCATTTAGCACCGTACATTGATCCTTCACAGCTTTCCCAAGTTTCCTTCATTTATCTAAACACTACCAAATTCTCTGCGACCACAGTTCCACTGAAGCGTTCGCGCGAAGCAAGAGCTTAGTGCAATAGTGCGTAGGGTCACGTACTTGCGTCGTCACCGTAACTCCATATTTTGAAAATCTTTGTAATCATCTAGTTGAGGGTCGCTTTTGCTTACTTTTATACCGTGGTAGAGTACTCTTATTGTGCTAGGTTATGGTGAATGAACAAATTCGGTGTTATGAGGAGCTTTTGGGACATGGC